AAAAAATTTATTAATTCTTCTATGATGCATGCATATTAACTGTTGACATTATTAGCAGACAAATTAAATAATCTGTTGAGAGTTTTTTTTTTGACTGCATCCATGCAAACCATTCCGTTTCTCTACTTGCACAAATAAAACAATATGGATTACATATTTCATAGTATTTAAGCATTGATAAAGGCATCGCATTATAAATATACTTTATTTTAATGAAAATTATAATAATAAGAACTCAGATAAACCGTATATTGCCGTAGTCGTGTGTTTATTAGTCACGTTGAATCAATGAAAGCAGTTGAATCTTCTGTTTCTTCAGCTGCAGCGATGCGTATTTGGAGTTTCATCGCGAGAGCGCCCTCTGGCCTTTGGATGGAGATTTACTGCTGATCACAGAACCGTGCTTCACTGAAAGATACGCATGACAATCGCAGCTTCTGTCGAATCGCGATCTCGATTCCATTTCGATTTATCGTGCAGCCCTACTTGGATGGGTTAAATGCAGAGCACAAATTCCGAGTATGGGACACCATACTTGGCCACACGTCACTTCACTTCACTAAGCTCCTGCACTTGCACGTCTCTAAGTCCTCCATTAGGCCCCTAATAAATGATCTCTGGTGCAGAAGAGGAGAGAGAACTGCACCTATTTCAGTCCGACACAGTTTTATGATCATTATTACTGTTCCAAAAAGCAATTTTTTTGTGGTTGCAAGACAAGCAATGGGATTCTCATGGTAAATATCAAAGCATCACATTTTGTAAAATCCAATTAATTCACCCTCTGTACTCAGCGGGGGTGCTGCAGCATCACAAAGGGGGATCTGACACTTTCTATGACCTGCGCAGGGCGGGAAAGAGGGGAACCTTCTGGAAAAGCTTTGCACCAGGCTACAGAAAGCAGCCTGAGAGGAAACGTTTCGTGGAGATCAAACCTAGCGGTGTAATTCGATTAAATCATTGTGAACTGATTAATGTCTACGGCTGATTAATTGAAAGATTTGCGGCGGTCACGTTGAGAGGCCTGTGATCCTCCCACATAATGAATGAGTACACAAGTGATCATCACAGCATAACACCCAAACTGCAGCTCTGCCTGGATGAACTCTCTCTGATGTGGGTTCTGCGTTGCGGCTCAAAACATCAACTCAATAATCATTCCACCCTGAGCGATTCATTATTAGCATGAGAACTAGGATTTTTTTGTGAAAGCAGACCGATCAAAAAAACACTGCTTTGGTAATGATGACACTCAACCATAAATGATCCACTTAGCTAAATCAAGCGTAACACCCAGGTAATTAGGTGTAGATGTACTCAGAGCTTAGTTCATCATGTACTCCTAACCTTGTATTAAAACATACTGTTGTGGCTGCGGTCATGATGGAGGCTTTACTGCCCTTGAACATGGTGACTCATAAAACTCACGTTCATTAATAATTCAGTTATGTAACAGGGGATTTTACTATACTTAGCCAGGTCAAGTATTTGACTAAGCCTAATGCTAGTGATACTTCAGAACACGAAATTTAACAGCAAACAATAGGAACTGCATGTTTCCAGGAATGTGCATGTGTTTGTATGATGTTTTGTGCTGGACAGCAAGTAATCTGTCTTACAGCAGAGAGTGGAACAAACAAACCTGCTGAAGCGTGCTGAACACACAGGCACAGAAACATAAATGTGAAGCAGTACCATTTTTCTACTAGAAATACAGTATGCAGTATATATCCTCCTTATTGACTATTTAATGTGACTGTTAAAGATGATACCTGGACACCACTTACTAAATTAAACACAAAAATTAAGCATAGTGAGGTCATGTAACAATGTAATGTTTGGAGCAGAACACAAGCAAAGTACTT